ACACACGAGTGTGATCACCGTAAAACCTCGCAGCCTCAACACAACCAAGCTGAAGACTTCCACCAGATATAAAAGTTATAGTAGGTGTTTGCTGGAATAGTTCATCGGCTCTTCCAGGAAGTTGTGATCTCAAATTTAAACCAAACTAATATCCTTGTTACTATTTGAAATCAAGAATTTTAGACCAAAACAATCCCAACAAAGGCCCATGAGATCCTAGCTCCAGGCCCGTAGGAATGAACGAGTACATCGTTATCTAGTTCTGCCCCCTGATAGTCAACCTAATCGTCAGGCAGAAAAACCAAACCAACATTGGGCCCCCCGGACCCAAGTATCAGAGGGACCTTTTCTCTTGTAACACAGGAAGCCTCTTACCACTGCACTGCTGCATATGCTAACTGTGCTAGCTGCTATTAGCTAGTTAGATGTTATCCATCATGTCGATCTGTTGCCAGTCTTTATTTATTGTGTTTTAAACAAGACTTGTGTGATCAAATATAGATATTTAAATAATTACATTTAATTAAAGAAGTTATACTAAAATATTTCATATTAAATATTATTGAAAGAGCATTATGCAAACAGAAGTACTGTAGATGCTCTGACCTGCAAATCTACAAAGCAGAAAGAATCATTCCCTCTAATTGTCAGTCATATTGTAATCTGATGTGTTTACTGTATCACAGGGCCCTAAATTAAGGCTGCAGTTGATATCTGATTTATCAGAATCAGTGATTTTGATTTCGAGAACAGGTTTGTTTAATAAAAGTAAGTTTCTGTATTTATTGTTTGAACCTCACAGTGTGATGCTTCGGTTCCAGGTTTCTTTTACTGATGTGTATGCCCACTGGTGTATTTATGTGTTATAGTATTTATGTGATTGTGTATTAGTTTAAATAGAAGAGGACTCTGAATGCTTGCCTGCTCTCTATTGTATGTATTTATATTTTCATTATTTGATTAATCTGCCTGTGGATTAGAATCAGTTGCAAAATAAATGGATTGTTTTGTAAATTGAGATTATTGTTTATCTGCTGTAGTTTAGGGATGCAGGGGACACCACCGCTGGAACTTAACAACCCTCAACAGTAAGTCTGAAGTCTGATTAACTGCCAGTTTGGAGACGACAAAACTCTTCCCTCAATTCCCCCGTAAGGGTTCACGCCTTCTTCTGATAAAGGATTATCTTTCCCAGGAGGAGACGCACATAAACACAAACTCTCACTCAAATAACGACCAGATAAATCTTCCTCCTGAGCTATTCTACGTTAGAAACCTTCCCTGTTAACCTGAAAGTGAGGCATTACTAGTAATAATATTACTTTCCACAGTAACTAGTAGTGTAACTAATTACTAATAAATGTCAGTAACATTACAGTAATAATATTACAGTTACCATCTAATAAAGAAATTTCCAGTATTACTTCTGCTGTCTCCTCCTGATCTGAAATCCAACCATCCAATCACATCCTTGTATTCGTGGAGGAAACTAGTTTGGAAGATGAAACCTTTTGAACATTTTAATGGTGGACAGCTCATTAACAGTTGTACCTGGTGTCCCTCTGTTGCCTGTCTCTGTTTAAAGGTTTGAATCTCGTCATCAGTTTGTGAGTTCATCTATGTGACCTCAGTGCCACCTAGTGACCCTAATTAAATAGGACTCTTCTATCAGTGTCATTAATATATGAATCATATTAACTTTGTTTTATTGGTTACACTGAATTTATGATTTGATAGTAAGTGGTTATGAATAGAAATATGAGGAATGTGAACAATTAACCCTTTTATCTGACATTGCCATCATATCACATCAGATAATATGTCTGCTGCGTGTAACATTATCAGTTTATATAACAAAGAAAACCACACTTTCTCTTAAAGAATCCTTATTAATAACAAAGTAAAACAGTTTTGGGTGTAAAAATGTTTCCTCGGCCCAAATCTGACCAAAGTCACCTGCTTTAACCTCTTCCACACGTTTTAGTCACTTCCTGTCAGCTCTGTTTTTGTGCTCTTTGTATTTCTATAACTATCAGTGAAAGAAGCTGATCTCTCTTTCAATGACCCTGTCTTATACTTAAGACCAACTCGTGGCGATGAGGGACTGATCATAGCTCTGAATGTTAAAGTTACATAGTAGAGAAACATTGTCCCCTTTTACCTCCTTTATCAACACCAACATCTAAAACATTCACTGCATTTATTTGGTTCTAATCACTTCACATGATTACTAACAATTCCTTCGTTATTCACTCATTTAATCACAAATAAAGTTCACATTGATCACAGAGTCGTTTGTCCGTGAAGATTCTTCGTTGCAGAAAATTATCAATGTGACAAGAATTCACTTCTGGTTAATCTGACTTCTTATAATTTATTATTTATTAAATAAAGGCAAAGTGCAAATTATTCAAAAGTAGTACTAACACAACACGGACATCAGCCTGTCTGTGCTACGTCGCCCTCTGAGAATGTAAGGAATCAACAGAAAACAGGACATCAAACAGATTTCTCAACGACTGTTTATTGTATTATTTGTATTTATTCTTACAGTGGTTATTGTCTCGACGGCTGTGAGCTGAGCAGTGTGATGTTCTAACGTTCCAGTTGCTTTACTGCTCCAATCAGCACTGACTCTGAGGAGTGTTCCCGCTAAGTGTATGACCTTATTTTCAGTTCCAACCTGCATCAGCCTGATGTTTGACGCTGTCAACAGCCTGACTGTGGTGTGTTGTGGGATTTTAGAACTGACACAGGTTGTCAATACCAGCTCGAAACAGACTTTAAGTGCTTTACAGGGTTGAACCAGGATTAAAACATTTCAGGACCAGCAAATCAAAATAAAGTGGAACCCCAACAATAAAGATAAATACTAATAATAAAACAGATAAAACATATTGACAATAAAACACTTCACATTCCTGTTTATACCATTTCGGGTCCTTGCAGCCTCTCACACTCACAGATGTTGGTCTATGAGGGTTCAGTATTTCAGCTTTAGGCTGGAGATCAGGCCTATGTCTAATTTCAGTTTCCTTTACTGCTGCTGCTCTCACCAGCACACTCATGTCTCTTAAACTGCGACTGCCACGTGAAGCTCTTCCCACAAGTGCCACAGCAGAACGGTTTCTCCCCGGTGTGAGCCGTCATGTGTCTTGTCATGTGTCCCTTCCGCGAGAACCTCTTACTGCACACCGAGCAGACGAAAGGTTTGAGTCCGGTGTGGGTTCTCATGTGCTGAACCAATGTGTGGCGCTGCGTGAAACTTGTGTTACAAACCGAGCAGGAAAAAGGTTTTTCTCCTGTGTGGATCCGAAAGTGAGCGACCAAGTCCGACCGCTGCCGGAATCTTTTAGCGCAGAGTGAGCAGCTGAACGGTTTCTCCCCAGTGTGGACTCTCATGTGTTTATCTAAAGACCAGCCATGACTGAAGCTGGTGTTACAGACCGAACAGCTAAACGGTTTCTCTCCTGAGTGACACCTCATGTGAGCGATCAAGTGTTCCCGCCGGTTGAAGCTTTTACTGCAGAAAGAGCAGCTAAATGGTTTCTCTCCCGTGTGACACCTCATGTGTCTTTTCAGATTCGTCTTGTGGCCGAATGTTTTCCCGCACTCAGAGCAGATAAATGACTCCTTATCAGGGTTCCTGACACCATTAATCGCAGAATTTAAACCCGACTGAGGCTCTCTGGGCTCCGTCCAACCATCATCACTGACCTCAGTCTCAGAGGAGTCTTCAGTATCAGGTTGTAAATGTGTCTCTGGTTCTGGTCCTCCACAGCCCTCTCCACCATCTGTTTCCATGTGTTCAAGTAGTATTTGATGAAGGTGAGGTTTCTCTTCATCATCATCTTCACTCTTCACAGGGACAG